AGGTGGCTGGATGGGGGGCGCGGTCAGGGGATGGGGAGCAGGGGCGATTGGATAGGAGTGGATGGGGGGGGACGGAGGCTGTCAAGGGGCAGGGGTGTGGATTGGGGTCGGGGCAGTAAGGGGACAGGGAGCGGGGGGGGCTGGATAGGGGGTGGGGTCACAGGAGGGGGCGGTCAGGGGACAAGGAGCAGGGGAGGTTGGATAGGTCAAGGGTTTTGAGGGGGGCGGATAGGGGGCGGGGCCAGGCTGTTTGGGGAGGCACAGCTTTCCCTACCCGGCCCGCCATACAGTTCGCAACCCCAATGTGGCCCTCGGGCCAAAAAGTTTGCCCACCCCTGGCCTAGCCCCACACCAGCCAGGAGCAGCCATTATGGGGAAAAAAATCAAGATTTGTCGCTGTAGCCCTGCGCTACAGCATGCACGTTGGGGATGGTGCATGCAGTGTGACCAGTGCTAAGAGCTGCAAGAGGCTCAAGCATGCTCAGTGAGGATGGAATTTTCAGAGATTTTAGCTGGGCATGTGCAAACTGTATTTTTTAAAGGCCAGACTTGGGCAGATTTTCACAGGGACAGCAAAAAAGGCACATCCTGAAACAAAGGCAAAGCATCTGCCAAATATCAAATCCCTGCACCAAAGCACAGGTGTGCTAGAGCTTTTCAAAATAGAGATCACCAGAATTTAATATGGATAAAACATATTTTTGCCTACCCTCATTCTTGGAAAGGGCTGAACCATGTTGACTGAAGTCGTTCGCGCCCCCCCCAAAAAAAAAAACAGCCTGAGGCAGACACCTGGCATGGAAGATTTCATCCCAAACATTATTTGTTTGGGATGAAATTATAAGAAACTGAAAAGAGGATCTTATAATGGGAAGTGTCATGCAATATTAACAACAGGCAGTGCTACCAGATTAATTACAATATAATATACGGGAGGAGAACCAAAGGACATTTTTTCCTTTCAAGCCACCACTATTTAAACTATTAACTTGAATGGCAGACCTGCTATATTGCCTTGTATAGATTTCTATAGTAATGTGCACCTAGATCTTCCATAGGCACTTTCTGATTAATCTATTTATCATTGATTTAATGTTTCAGACTATACAGAGAAACATGTCTTCAGACACTCAAAGGGCTATTTAACAGAGGTAGTTTTCTAACAGAGGTGGAACAAGTTGGATTATTCAGATTGCTTAGTGTTGCTAACACTAGTCCTATTTTAGTCAATGGGAGTTTTACAAGTGATTTCAGTGACAGATGGGTTAGGACAACTCAAGAGATCTTCTAAATCCCAGCCCAATAAATTTGTTCACTGTTTGTAGCAGCCATGCAAGACAGTAGGTTGCCTAGAAGAATGGAGCCTTGTACAAGTTTTACTGTATTTTGTCTTATCAAGTGATCATCAAAAGGAGAGAAAACTTATTGATGTGTATTTCAAGTTTGTGCATCTTTGGAATAACTACACATCAGAATTCATTAGATAGTGGTTACAAATAAATCTCAAAGTACATTTTATGAAGGCCATAACATTTAAAGGAAAACTTAGTTATACTAGCTACCTTCAGTTCTCAGCTTCTAAACTTTAGTCTAATTTCTGCATTCTATGCACAAGAATTATTAGTAAACAGATTGCCAAAAAGAAAGGTAATTGCCTACCAAATTGAGACTGTATACCTGTTAATGTTGTGGCACATGCGTGGTATGAGCCTGGATAGGAACATAAGAGACTCCCAGTGTGGAGCATCTTTACTGGAGATCCCACATACATAGCTATATGAGCGACAGTCACCCTGGGAAGTAACAGAAAGTGAACTGATATCTCTTAAACAATTAACATATAAAACAATATATAGTACTTTCCCATTTATTTTGTAGCCGTTAAAAATCAAGTTAGAGAACTAAATTTTAGTCAACAAATCAACATTTGATTAACGGTTATAAGCCCAGTGAAATCAATGTGACTGCATGGATATAGATAGCCGAGGGCAGAACTAGACCCTACATCTTTAATTTGCCTTGTAATTCCTGGGTACCGGAAGGGCTTCTGAACAGTGAACTTAAATATCAAATACTCAGCAAAATTGTGGCACTCTACAGAGAATTTAAAAGACAACACTTCAGTCTCAGCTTCCAGCACTGTCATCTGTTAAATTAGACCTTTGACACTTGTTTTAAAAATTCAAGCTCATTCTATTAAAAATGCCAAAAAACTACAAAATACCTTAAAAACACACCCTATGCATCTAACAGAGCTTAACAAAAAATTTGCCAAATATAGCAAAGCACACCTCCTCCCACTAAATTTAAGAAACTTGCCATGCATAATACTCTAAGAACAGCCTATCAAAATGGAAGAAGGCATTTAGCTTGCTATGTCTGCACTTCTGTTTTGGTAATAAGTAAAAATTAATTTAAATAAAAATAACTTATTTTTAAAAACTCATTGGCATTAGAAGAGCACTTACAAGGATATCCATAACTGCTATACTAATGCAAATACAGAAAACACTTCCATTTAAATCAAGCAACCATGTCATTGTACTTTGTGAATTTGATCTCAACAAAACTAATTAGAATGGATACAATCAGAGATGCCAGTACGCCCCCAGTCACAAAACAATGTCAAGAGAATCCTTGCAGTTTCATGTCAACAACATGATAAACTATATTTTGGAGATTTCAATATTGTATTGTATTCCTACTGTCCACAAAACGAATTTTATTTTCACAAAAATATGTTTTAAAGGTAAGCTGTTTAGTGCCAATGCTCTTGTTTTTTGGGTATTCTTTTTAATTACAATGAGCATATAAATGGGTTGGATTGGCAGTCTGAGTCTTTTGGCACAGCATCTGATGGGTGTTATTGGATCTTAAGGACCTCAGACAACTGGATAGTCACTTCTGTAAGGCCTGACATAACCTTCCTGAGGACCTAAGATTACCGGAAGGCCCACACACCAGCAAAAATAAGTTAAAAATAAAAGTGATATATTTTGTGGATTCTTCTTTAATTTTATTTTCTTGGGCCATGGTATTTTCTTTATTTTTCTTACAGCATTAATTATTGATTATACTATATTGCAGCCTTCTGTATTCAGCATAAGCAATCTTCAACACCTCCACAGAGCCACTCCACTAACCTGCACTCCCACCGTTTTGATTGGCAGCAAGAAGGCATTCAGTGAATGTAGGCTTGTGATCTGCATCAGCTTCTCCTGGTCCTCTTCAGTTGTGCATGCTTTGACCCTTTGTAACAGAGTGTGTGGCTGTGCAAGGGGGGCAGATAATCACTTTTCATAATTTTTGTAAAAAGACACATTCAGATAAAACTTCTAAATGATTATGCAGCCAAATGTTTATGTTCACTTTACATTTATGATAGCTTTATTCATTGTAAAGCAATTTGCAGTATGGTTTTCATTTAACAAAGTTTAAGTATTATGAAGAGCAGTACAAATCTATGAGTGTCTGTGGTATGGTATGATATGGTATGGTAACCAGAATGCATACACACTTAGCAGGTTTGAGTCACAGCTCTCCAGAAGCAACAGATTAACTTATTTTACTTTCTAGGTTTGTTCTCTAAAGGTATCATTCACTGAGGTTTCTATTTATGCTATTTCTTCCCAATGCAGCATCCTCATAATGAAAGCAGATCTGTACATAACCTTGGGACTCCACTTATACTGGTGATCAGGAGTATCACATGCTCAGGTAATTCTTCAGCAGCTTATGGACAGGTGTGATGAACACATTGCTCTTAGTGCAACTCCTGATAGCTAATTTGTAGCCTTTTTCAGCTAGAAAGAAGATGCAGCTGAGGTTATCATTAAGGTAATGGCTGCAAACAGAGGGAAATGATCCACTACTAATTTACTTGGGTGCTCAGAATTCCTGCTTATGACATCTCACAAGTATATCAGACCCTTATTTCTCACATTATGATCTAGCTGCCCAATGATAGTTCATGCAGGCAAACCTAGAAGTTTACAACTATTTTGAGGAACCACAGCTATTTTCTGCCAATACTATATGGCTGGAAACAGTCTCAAAAGTCCTCTTAGCATAGTAATTTTTAGATTGTTCTAGCTAAACAACTTATTCTGCTGCTGTAGAGTAGTACACAATCAACTTTTCTTTTTCTAAAAAGACAACATTTAAATGCAGTTTTGCTATAGCACCAATAATGCTATCTGACTACACAGAAAATCTTCAAGTTCGCACAAATTAAGTACCAAACAGCAGTTCTCAAACAAAGCAGCAATCGTACTTTTAACAGTTACATTTTAATATACTATGAATCTCACCGTAATTCACCAAGGAATTAGTTTTCATATTTTTTTCATGTTATTGGTTCCCATAAAACTCACCTTCTTCAGTTCCAATAATATTTAATTACCTTTTTAACACTTGCAGAAAAATCTGCTACTATTTTCAAAATGTTGTTAGTTTCGGGGAAGTCTTTGCAAACATAAGGTTCTTCAGCACATATTACTCTGATTGCTAGGCCAGGACCTGAAATGCAAAGTTAGAACAGCATTACAGTAAAGAATGTGCAAGTGAACAGTCACATTTAAAATGTATTATAAGAATCTTAGAAGAGAAAGCTTTATCGCTAAGTATAGTTTGTTCACTTTGCTATTATATCTACAGTATTAGTTAGCTTAACAACATTTCTACCAAGATTGTACAATATACAATATCTGTTCTGAAGCAGCATTTTTGTTACTTAACTTGTATACTCAGACATCATTTATCTACATCCTAAATTGTATGGTTGTGTCAGGCAGTGGTTAGTGTCTCTGATGTTTTGCTACCAAGAGAGAGAAAGGATTGTGATTACAGCAATGATGAGACAGCTGCCACTGCCACCTCTTGTTATACAACTTATATGCAAAAGTTGTGGAGATTTGACAAAAACATTACAATTACAAGTCTAACACATCACTGAATAATGCTGACAGTGGAACGGCCTTAAAAGCTGATTAACACAAAATTGCTTGTAATTTGGCTTGAAGTGTCCTAATGACATCTCTTGTAATAAAAGGACAGTGGTACTCCTAAACTAATTCATACTTTTATACAGTGCTTGTGCTACTAATAGGCTGGTCTGTGCAAACTGCCAGCTACTAGGCTGATTTGTGCCACCTGCCAGCTACTATCAAGAATTATAGGACTACCTTTGTTCCTTGCATATTTTAAAAACAGTGACATCCCTTTTAGCAGGGTTCAGTTTTCTAAAATACAATACAATTCTGAGGCTGTCTGGTCAAGAACTGTTGCTATCTCTTATAGCCCCTCATTTCTACAAAAGATAAATTGGTCCTGGGAAGGAATGACTTAGATTAGTGTTCCAAGCTGGACAGTACAAATAATATTCAGTTACATCTCACTGTTAATGGAGTTTTTGCACTATGGAGCTGAAAGAGAAAGCATATAAAAAAAAAAGCTACTGGACTAATATTTCTTTTATCACTATAAACAGCACAGTGGCTCTCTTATAAGGGGTGCTTCATCTCTAGAAAATACAAAATTTGCTTGAAATCAAAGCCATAGTAGATATACTAAGTTTCTGTCTCAACATTGTAGTAGGGATATAAATACCGTTTAAAAAATTAACCATGTAAACAATTTAAAAATATTTTGTTTAAACGGTTAACCAATTAAAGGGCTGGCCAGCAGGCACGGCTGGGGATTAATGCATGACTTAATGTGGGGCTGGCCAGTCCAGTGGTTAACGGTTAAGACTAATGCTCACCAGTTAACATTTTACATCCCTACATTATAGAGATGAATTTTTCTTATATTCAAATATAAAACTTATTCTGAGGATTATAATAAAAACATTAATGACACTTGTAGTCCTTGACTTTAATGAATTACACTACCCTAAATCCCATACCTGGGAAAGGATGCCTTGAGACCAGCTCTTCTGGGAGACCAAGTTCTCTCCCGAGCACTCTTACTTCATCCTTGTGGAAGTCCTTTAGTGGTT